TCTGTTCAAAACTGTACCTGCTGCACTGATCATATGGAACTTGCACTGTACACTAAATAAATATATTCTTTTTAAATTAATAATTTGTAATGTTGACACTATTGCAGATGTTCCCATCCCTCCTCCTTGCCCACCTCGACCTACCGCCACCTCCCACTCCCTTGGCCTTCACCACACTATTGTTTGTGTCCACAGGGTAGGCATATAGGCTCTTTAGCCAATCCTTTCACCTTCTTTATTCTGTCACCTCCACCCCACACTCTCAGACACTGGCCACCATGCTTCTGGTTCCATTTTGTTCAGAAGTTTATTTTGTTCATTAGACTCCACATATTAGTGAGATCATTTGGTATTTGTCTTTCTCAGACTGGCTTATTTCAGTTAACATATACTCTCCAGGTCCCTCCATGCTGTCAAAAAAGGTAAAATTTCCTTCTTTTTCAGCCCATAATATTCCATTGTGTAACCCCACTCCTGGGAATATATCCTAAGAATCCCAATACACCAATCAGTAAGAATATATGCAGCCCTATGTTCATAGCAGCATTATTTACAATAGCCACGTTCTGGAAACAGTCCCTCTGCCCATCAGCAGATGAGTGAATAGAAGGAGCTGTGGTATAAGAAACATATTCTTAGAGACCATTCCCGAGGAAACAAAAATATGATTGGAATTTTCATTATCAAAGAGAAATCAAACCCGCGGGAATCAAACCTGCAACCTGTGTGCATCAGGATAGCACTCTAGCTACTGAGCTACAAAGGTAGGGCTACAAATGGTTTTTAAAAGTGCAGTTTGTCATTTGATAACTGAGTCAATGTAAATGCAAAAGAATAAAAAAATGGCACGGTTGAGTATTTTTTATATCTAGAAAAATTACAAAAAATACTTATATTTTAACCTACTAGTAGCCCGGTGCACAAAAATTTGTGCACTCGGGGGTGAGGGTGAGGAGTGGGGCCAGACCCCTCAGCCCGACCTGCACCCTCTGTCATGTTCTGGGACCCCAGCTACTCCTGGCCTAGGCACAGGTCTACAGGCTTGGGCAGCCTGGCTCCCGAGGCCCCATTTTATCAAGAGAACAAAGTCGGCGTTAGTTAGAGCTCTCACAGAACCCAGTACACTGCATCTGTGCATACAACTGCCTCGTTCCTGTGCCTGCTTCGCCCTACTGAATTACTAACATCTTGAGGACATAGCTCTGTCTTATCCTGCTTCAACTTCAGTGCCTGGCCTGGTGCCATGGACCTGAGAGAGTTTGCTGAGTGAGTGAATAATGAGTGAGTGAATGAGTGATTGAATGAGTGAGTAAGTGAATGAGCAAGCAGCTAAGGAGCAGGAACGCGTTGCCATGGCAACATGGCAGAAGTTCAGGCCCCATTCCCAGCTCCCTGAAGCCCACCCCAGGAAAGGTCTGCCCTGTTCCCAGCGGCCTGGGGCCCCTCTCCTGGCTGCATACTGAATTACTAACATCTTGAGGACATAGCTCTGTCTTATCCTGCTTCTACTTCAGTGCCTGGCCTGGTGCCATGGACCTGAGAGGCTTGTTGAGTGAGTGAATAATGAGTGAGTGAATGAGTGAACAAATGAGCGAGTAAGTGAATGAGCAAGGAGCTACCAGCGGGGATAGTTCGCACTCTGCTCTGAGCTGCCTAATGCAAACCCCGTGAAGTTAATGCCCTGCTCCCAGCGGCCCCACTCCCCTTTCCCGGCTGCATAGTTCGTGCAGGGCAAAGGCTGCCCAGGTGTGCATTTTGGCAAATCAGTGCATTAGCACCTGCCAGCCTGGGATCCTCCCGGAGGGCCATTTGTGGGCGTGGCCAGTGACAGATCAGGGCATTAGCACCAGTCAGCTGGGGATCCCCCTGGAGGGCCGTTTGTGGGCCTTTCCAGTGGCAGATAGGTGCATTAGCACCTGTCAGCCTGGGATCCCCCCGGGAGGGTCATTTGTGGGCATGGCAGGTGGCAGATCAGTGTATTAGCACCTGTCAGCCTCATATCCCCTCAGAATGGACGTTTGTTGGCATGGCCGGTGGCCGATCGCTGCGGTCCAGCCGCCAGCCCTGGGTCTGTTCTCATACGGGCCGCCTGCCACCTGGGTTGCAAATATCAGGCCCAGATGGCAGCAGGTCAGGCGGGATGGCGCTGTCCCGCCCTGCCTGCAGCGTGAAAATTAGCCACCATCTTTGTTGGCGGTTAACCGCCATCTTGGCTAGTGATTAATTTGCATATCTCGCTGATTAGCCAATGGGAAGGGTAGCGAAGTTATGGTTAATTACCATGTTTCTCTATTATTAGATAGGATGTCCTTAGAACACCTGGGTTAAATATTCAAGGGCAACTCACACTTGACCAATGAATAACATTTTCATTACCAAGAGTAAAGGGATATCAGAAGTCTTACCTAGTTTGTTCTGAGCCTCCTCTGAAAGAAAAGGAAAGACCAATGTCAGGTGAGTGGGAAAGGATCACAAAGGGAATTAAAATTTACAAATAAATTCATATTTAATAACTTTAACAGGTTTCAGAAGAACACACACATATGTAAAAGAATATGAACACAAAAAGCCACACACATGCATGAACACATACATATACACAATGCCCCACCACCCACACACACACACATCATGCTCCCTTCACACACAGTGGATCAGAGCTCACTACTATTCAGTAAATAAACAGGGGGAAAGTGGAGTTAATTTAGTGAAATAACAAAGTTTTAAAATATTCCTTTGGTAGTTAATTGTTAAGACTCTCTTGATTTTTGTAAGTTTATGTTCCTGCTAGTCAGTTTGTTAACTTTAGTCATTGGCTACCTTGAAATTTATGGGTCACTTTCATCACTGTGGCAGCAACACTGTACAAAGTGGCCACAGACCCTGGGGAAGGGGACACTGAGACAAAGCTGTGCTAGACAATACAGGTCAGGGTGCTGGTGCCCGTGTTCACAAAGCTTTAGTCCATGGATTAATTTCCAGTGGAACTGCACCAGAGCTTCTGTGTTAGGTCATTCCTGAACGAGCTTTTCTTAATCAATTCACATGGGTGCTGAATGCAGGGGAGAGAAAGGACTGGGATTCTCTGACAGGGATTCTGCCTCTCACTGGACCTTTACTGTGCCTGTATCCTAACTGAAAAGTTGACATCTAAACGCACTTCTAGGAGAGAGGCTTTATAAACATTGTGCAGAGATGAAACTAAAGTCCCACATCTGCTCACGACTATTTCTACAACATGGCCAGTCACGTCCCTTCTGTAAATGGAGAACAACTCAGGAAAGTCCATTCTACCGAAATCATTGGTACAATTGCATAAAAATGTCATCTCATACGAGGGGCAGAAAGATTGAAATAACTCCTGAGTAGGGTACTAAAGAGTGATGTGGGAATATCTTAGAAACCAACCTTAGATTTTAGACAATTTTCTTGAGTGAAAAACATATGTATAAAGATCCCAAAGGAAGAGCAACTTGGTGAATTAGTAAACAATTGAATAAAAATGAAAGTGCAGTAATAACTATGGTTGGAAAGAGCAAATAACCAGGCACAATCAGGTAAAAGTAGTTATACATCTTGGATCATGTGAGAATATGGTCAAGGGAAGTAGAATAGCAATTCTCAAGGTCAACTTGCCACCAGTCTGTATGTTCAGAGTGTGTAAAAGTCCAATAGAAGAGAAATCATACATCAGAAACTTTTATGCTTGATTCCTTCCCTTAAGAATTAGCATAGTATTGTGTGCACAGCAATGGGCACACCCATCCAGAGGCCCTGCTGGAGAACCCAAGTAAAAGGTAGTTTTCCAGAAGATACCTGGCGTGGAAGCAAGCACAAGCTCCCTAACCTGATCTTCAGCTCATCCCCCTTGACATGCAGTTATAGGAAGCATCTGCAAGGCAGAGAGCAAGTGAAGGAAAGAAAATGGAAAGGATAGAGGCAGGGGGTGGGAGAATCCCAGGAATCAAAAAAAAAAAAAACACAACCAAAAAACAAATGAATAGGATAATTTAACATTCATGGGCGGGGGTGGGCGGGGTGGGGGTGGGGGGAAGCAAATTTAAAAAAAGAGCAAAGATGGTGGTGGGTAATGATTTAGAGACTAAGATATGGACAAGAAAAGAATCTTTTCAGAGAAATATATCTCTAATGGAATGCCAGTCTGAGGAAAGTGGAAAGTTACCAAGTTGTTGCTGAAGTTCTTCTGAAAAAGAAAATGGAAAACTTTTGTAAATATAAGGGAAATGACCACAGAAAATTAAGAACTGTTGAAAATTGCCACTGCAAAGTGAACTGGTGCAGTGAATATGAATAAAGAGTAAGCACGACACAAATGGAAACAGAAAAATTAGCAGTGCTTTTTCCTTAGGAAAGAAAAAGTAAGTGAATTTTCTGAAATGACTAAATAAAAGGAAAATGTTGCTAGAATGTTAGAGAGAGCACACCTAGAATTGTATCCCATACATATATCTTTATGGGTGGCTTGAGGTACTGAGAACATTCAGGGTTTGGACCACAGCACTTATTTAATGAAATAAAATAATTTTGTTCCAAACATTTTCTTAGCAGTAGTATATATAAATTGGTATTTTAATTTGGCCATTTTTTTCCATGTATATTAAATTAAACAAGGCATCTTTCAGTGAGCTCTATTTTGTACAATTAAAAGATAATCTGTGAATCCTAGAAAAGTCTTTTTAGTAGTTGTTATAATCATTGAGAAAGTGCATGACTATAATATGTGGACACAAGTCTTTTTGCAAGTCGACAGGTTTTAAATCTTTGAGTTTAGCAAAATTGCAAAATAACTTAATTGTCAAAAGAAAGCAGTTTTAAAATTAACTTTGGTCAACACTTTGCCTTTTTAACTCAGGAGCTCAGAGAGTTGAGTGATATTGGTACTTGCCTTTTCTCTTGTCACTGTCCGCTGAAAAGTAAAAGGGAAAAATAAACAACTCATGTCAAATAAAAACACAACATGGGGAAGGAAGGAGAATAACATTGGTACCCTCTTCACGGCTCACTCTGTAGTTAAAAATTGCATGCTTCTGAAAATTGCAAGCAAAAGTTACCAAACGACAGCTCATCCATCAGAGGCAACATGTTCCCTCCTCCATGCCTTGTGCAAAAGGAACTAAATGAGGAAATAAACTCATGAGGGAGCTGGGACAGACCTTCTGGGAGGCACAGTACCAATCATTCCTCTGTCTGTGGACTATCACCTGTTTCAGACTGAAATGCAAACATAAATTCCTACATGAGACAGGTACGAGGACGCGTACAAGAAAGACACCCATCTGTTCAAAACTGTACCTGCTGCACTGATCATATGGAACTTGCACTGTACACTAAATAAATATATTCTTTTTAAATTAATAATTTGTAATGTTGACACTATTGCAGATGTTCCCATCCCTCCTCCTTGCCCACCTCGACCTACCGCCACCTCCCACTCCCTTGGCCTTCACCACACTATTGTTTGTGTCCACAGGGTAGGCATATAGGCTCTTTAGCCAATCCTTTCACCTTCTTTATTCTGTCACCTCCACCCCACACTCTCAGACACTGGCCACCATGCTTCTGGTTCCATTTTGTTCAGAAGTTTATTTTGTTCATTAGACTCCACATATTAGTGAGATCATTTGGTATTTGTCTTTCTCAGACTGGCTTATTTCAGTTAACATATACTCTCCAGGTCCCTCCATGCTGTCAAAAAAGGTAAAATTTCCTTCTTTTTCAGCCCCATAATATTCCATTGTGTAACCCCACTCCTGGGAATATATCCTAAGAATCCCAATACACCAATCAGTAAGAATATATGCAGCCCTATGTTCATAGCAGCATTATTTACAATAGCCACGTTCTGGAAACAGTCCCTCTGCCCATCAGCAGATGAGTGAATAGAAGGAGCTGTGGTATAAGAAACATATTCTTAGAGACCATTCCCGAGGAAACAAAAATATGATTGGAATTTTCATTATCAAAGAGAAATCAAACCCGCGGGAATCAAACCTGCAACCTGTGTGCATCAGGATAGCACTCTAGCTACTGAGCTACAAAGGTAGGGCTACAAATGGTTTTTAAAAAGTGCAGTTTGTCATTTGATAACTGAGTCAATGTAAATGCAAAAGAATAAAAAAATGGCACGGTTGAGTATTTTTTATATCCAGAAAAATTACAAAAAATACTTATATTTTAACCTACTAGTAGCCCGGTGCACAAAAATTTGTGCACTCGGGGGTGAGGGTGAGGAGTGGGGCCAGACCCCTCAGCCCGACCTGCACCCTCTGTCATGTTCTGGGACCCCAGCTACTCCTGGCCTAGGCACAGGTCTACAGGCTTGGGCAGCCTGGCTCCCGAGGCCCCATTTTATCAAGAGAACAAAGTCGGCGTTAGTTAGAGCTCTCACAGAACCCAGTACACTGCATCTGTGCATACAACTGCCTCGTTCCTGTGCCTGCTTCGCCCTACTGAATTACTAACATCTTGAGGACATAGCTCTGTCTTATCCTGCTTCAACTTCAGTGCCTGGCCTGGTGCCATGGACCTGAGAGAGTTTGCTGAGTGAGTGAATAATGAGTGAGTGAATGAGTGATTGAATGAGTGAGTAAGTGAATGAGCAAGCAGCTAAGGAGCAGGAACGCGTTGCCATGGCAACATGGCAGAAGTTCAGGCCCCATTCCCAGCTCCCTGAAGCCCACCCCAGGAAAGGTCTGCCCTGTTCCCAGCGGCCTGGGGCCCCTCTCCTGGCTGCATACTGAATTACTAACATCTTGAGGACATAGCTCTGTCTTATCCTGCTTCTACTTCAGTGCCTGGCCTGGTGCCATGGACCTGAGAGGCTTGTTGAGTGAGTGAATAATGAGTGAGTGAATGAGTGAACAAATGAGCGAGTAAGTGAATGAGCAAGGAGCTACCAGCGGGGATAGTTCGCACTCTGCTCTGAGCTGCCTAATGCAAACCCCGTGAAGTTAATGCCCTGCTCCCAGCGGCCCCACTCCCCTTTCCCGGCTGCATAGTTCGTGCAGGGCAAAGGCTGCCCAGGTGTGCATTTTGGCAAATCAGTGCATTAGCACCTGCCAGCCTGGGATCCTCCCGGAGGGCCATTTGTGGGCGTGGCCAGTGACAGATCAGGGCATTAGAACCAGTCAGCTGGGGATCCCCCTGGAGGGCCGTTTGTGGGCCTTTCCAGTGGCAGATAGGTGCATTAGCACCTGTCAGCCTGGGATCCCCCCGGGAGGGTCATTTGTGGGCATGGCAGGTGGCAGATCAGTGTATTAGCACCTGTCAGCCTCATATCCCCTCAGAATGGACGTTTGTTGGCATGGCCGGTGGCCGATCGCTGCGGTCCAGCCGCCAGCCCTGGGTCTGTTCTCATACGGGCCGCCTGCCACCTGGGTTGCAAATATCAGGCCCAGATGGCAGCAGGTCAGGCGGGATGGCGCTGTCCCGCCCTGCCTGCAGCGTGAAAATTAGCCACCATCTTTGTTGGCGGTTAACCGCCATCTTGGCTAGTGATTAATTTGCATATCTCGCTGATTAGCCAATGGGAAGGGTAGCGAAGTTATGGTTAATTACCATGTTTCTCTATTATTAGATAGGATGTCCTTAGAACACCTGGGTTAAATATTCAAGGGCAACTCACACTTGACCAATGAATAACATTTTCATTACCAAGAGTAAAGGGATATCAGAAGTCTTACCTAGTTTGTTCTGAGCCTCCTCTGAAAGAAAAGGAAAGACCAATGTCAGGTGAGTGGGAAAGGATCACAAAGGGAATTAAAATTTACAAATAAATTCATATTTAATAACTTTAACAGGTTTCAGAAGAACACACACATATGTAAAAGAATATGCACACAAAAAGCCACACACATGCATGAACACATACATATACACAATGCCCCACCACCCACACACACACACATCATGCTCCCTTCACACACAGTGGATCAGAGCTCACTACTATTCAGTAAATAAACAGGGGGAAAGTGGAGTTAATTTAGTGAAATAACAAAGTTTTAAAATATTCCTTTGGTAGTTAATTGTTAAGACTCTCTTGATTTTTGTAAGTTTATGTTCCTGCTAGTCAGTTTGTTAACTTTAGTCATTGGCTACCTTGAAATTTATGGGTCACTTTCATCACTGTGGCAGCAACACTGTACAAAGTGGCCACAGACCCTGGGGAAGGGGACACTGAGACAAAGCTGTGCTAGACAATACAGGTCAGGGTGCTGGTGCCCGTGTTCACAAAGCTTTAGTCCATGGATTAATTTCCAGTGGAACTGCACCAGAGCTTCTGTGTTAGGTCATTCCTGAACGAGCTTTTCTTAATCAATTCACATGGGTGCTGAATGCAGGGGAGAGAAAGGACTGGGATTCTCTGACAGGGATTCTGCCTCTCACTGGACCTTTACTGTGCCTGTATCCTAACTGAAAAGTTGACATCTAAACGCACTTCTAGGAGAGAGGCTTTATAAACATTGTGCAGAGATGAAACTAAAGTCCCACATCTGCTCACGACTATTTCTACAACATGGCCAGTCACGTCCCTTCTGTAAATGGAGAACAACTCAGGAAAGTCCATTCTACCGAAATCATTGGTACAATTGCATAAAAATGTCATCTCATACGAGGGGCAGAAAGATTGAAATAACTCCTGAGTAGGGTACTAAAGAGTGATGTGGGAATATCTTAGAAACCAACCTTAGATTTTAGACAATTTTCTTGAGTGAAAAACATATGTATAAAGATCCCAAAGGAAGAGCAACTTGGTGAATTAGTAAACAATTGAATAAAAATGAAAGTGCAGTAATAACTATGGTTGGAAAGAGCAAATAACCAGGCACAATCAGGTAAAAGTAGTTATACATCTTGGATCATGTGAGAATATGGTCAAGGGAAGTAGAATAGCAATTCTCAAGGTCAACTTGCCACCAGTCTGTATGTTCAGAGTGTGTAAAAGTCCAATAGAAGAGAAATCATACATCAGAAACTTTTATGCTTGATTCCTTCCCTTAAGAATTAGCATAGTATTGTGTGCACAGCAATGGGCACACCCATCCAGAGGCCCTGCTGGAGAACCCAAGTAAAAGGTAGTTTTCCAGAAGATACCTGGCGTGGAAGCAAGCACAAGCTCCCTAACCTGATCTTCAGCTCATCCCCCTTGACATGCAGTTATAGGAATCATCTGCAAGGCAGAGAGCAAGTGAAGGAAAGAAAATGGAAAGGATAGAGGCAGGGGGTGGGAGAATCCCAGGAAGCAAAAAAAAAAAAAACACAACCAAAAAACAAATGAATAGGATAATTTAACATTCATGGGCGGGGGTGGGCGGGGTGGGGGTGGGGGGAAGCAAATTTAAAAAAAGAGCAAAGATGGTGGTGGGTAATGATTTAGAGACTAAGATATGGACAAGAAAAGAATCTTTTCAGAGAAATATATCTCTAATGGAATGCCAGTCTGAGGAAAGTGGAAAGTTACCAAGTTGTTGCTGAAGTTCTTCTGAAAAAGAAAATGGAAAACTTTTGTAAATATAAGGGAAATGACCACAGAAAATTAAGAACTGTTGAAAATTGCCACTGCAAAGTGAACTGGTGCAGTGAATATGAATAAAGAGTAAGCACGACACAAATGGAAACAGAAAAATTAGCAGTGCTTTTTCCTTAGGAAAGAAAAAGTAAGTGAATTTTCTGAAATGACTAAATAAAAGGAAAATGTTGCTAGAATGTTAGAGAGAGCACACCTAGAATTGTATCCCATACATATATCTTTATGGGTGGCTTGAGGTACTGAGAACATTCAGGGTTTGGACCACAGCACTTATTTAATGAAATAAAATAATTTTGTTCCAAACATTTTCTTAGCAGTAGTATATATAAATTGGTATTTTAATTTGGCCATTTTTTTCCATGTATATTAAATTAAACAAGGCATCTTTCAGTGAGCTCTATTTTGTACAATTAAAAGATAATCTGTGAATCCTAGAAAAGTCTTTTTAGTAGTTGTTATAATCATTGAGAAAGTGCATGACTATAATATGTGGACACAAGTCTTTTTGCAAGTCGACAGGTTTTAAATCTTTGAGTTTAGCAAAATTGCAAAATAACTTAATTGTCAAAAGAAAGCAGTTTTAAAATTAACTTTGGTCAACACTTTGCCTTTTTAACTCAGGAGCTCAGAGAGTTGAGTGATATTGGTACTTGCCTTTTCTCTTGTCACTGTCCGCTGAAAAGTAAAAGGGAAAAATAAACAACTCATGTCAAATAAAAACACAACATGGGGAAGGAAGGAGAATAACATTGGTACCCTCTTCACGGCTCACTCTGTAGTTAAAAATTGCATGCTTCTGAAAATTGCAAGCAAAAGTTACCAAACGACAGCTCATCCATCAGAGGCAACATGTTCCCTCCTCCATGCCTTGTGCAAAAGGAACTAAATGAGGAAATAAACTCATGAGGGAGCTGGGACAGACCTTCTGGGAGGCACAGTACCAATCATTCCTCTGTCTGTGGACTATCACCTGTTTCAGACTGAAATGCAAACATAAATTCCTACATGAGACAGGTACGAGGACGCGTACAAGAAAGACACCCATCTGTTCAAAACTGTACCTGCTGCACTGATCATATGGAACTTGCACTGTACACTAAATAAATATATTCTTTTTAAATTAATAATTTGTAATGTTGACACTATTGCAGATGTTCCCATCCCTCCTCCTTGCCCACCTCGACCTACCGCCACCTCCCACTCCCTTGGCCTTCACCACACTATTGTTTGTGTCCACAGGGTAGGCATATAGGCTCTTTAGCCAATCCTTTCACCTTCTTTATTCTGTCACCTCCACCCCACACTCTCAGACACTGGCCACCATGCTTCTGGTTCCATTTTGTTCAGAAGTTTATTTTGTTCATTAGACTCCACATATTAGTGAGATCATTTGGTATTTGTCTTTCTCAGACTGGCTTATTTCAGTTAACATATACTCTCCAGGTCCCTCCATGCTGTCAAAAAAGGTAAAATTTCCTTCTTTTTCAGCCCCATAATATTCCATTGTGTAACCCCACTCCTGGGAATATATCCTAAGAATCCCAATACACCAATCAGTAAGAATATATGCAGCCCTATGTTCATAGCAGCATTATTTACAATAGCCACGTTCTGGAAACAGTCCCTCTGCCCATCAGCAGATGAGTGAATAGAAGGAGCTGTGGTATAAGAAACATATTCTTAGAGACCATTCCCGAGGAAACAAAAATATGATTGGAATTTTCATTATCAAAGAGAAATCAAACCCGCGGGAATCAAACCTGCAACCTGTGTGCATCAGGATAGCACTCTAGCTACTGAGCTACAAAGGTAGGGCTACAAATGGTTTTTAAAAAGTGCAGTTTGTCATTTGATAACTGAGTCAATGTAAATGCAAAAGAATAAAAAAATGGCACGGTTGAGTATTTTTTATATCCAGAAAAATTACAAAAAATACTTATATTTTAACCTACTAGTAGCCCGGTGCACAAAAATTTGTGCACTCGGGGGTGAGGGTGAGGAGTGGGGCCAGACCCCTCAGCCCGACCTGCACCCTCTGTCATGTTCTGGGACCCCAGCTACTCCTGGCCTAGGCACAGGTCTACAGGCTTGGGCAGCCTGGCTCCCGAGGCCCCATTTTATCAAGAGAACAAAGTCGGCGTTAGTTAGAGCTCTCACAGAACCCAGTACACTGCATCTGTGCATACAACTGCCTCGTTCCTGTGCCTGCTTCGCCCTACTGAATTACTAACATCTTGAGGACATAGCTCTGTCTTATCCTGCTTCAACTTCAGTGCCTGGCCTGGTGCCATGGACCTGAGAGAGTTTGCTGAGTGAGTGAATAATGAGTGAGTGAATGAGTGATTGAATGAGTGAGTAAGTGAATGAGCAAGCAGCTAAGGAGCAGGAACGCGTTGCCATGGCAACATGGCAGAAGTTCAGGCCCCATTCCCAGCTCCCTGAAGCCCACCCCAGGAAAGGTCTGCCCTGTTCCCAGCGGCCTGGGGCCCCTCTCCTGGCTGCATACTGAATTACTAACATCTTGAGGACATAGCTCTGTCTTATCCTGCTTCTACTTCAGTGCCTGGCCTGGTGCCATGGACCTGAGAGGCTTGTTGAGTGAGTGAATAATGAGTGAGTGAATGAGTGAACAAATGAGCGAGTAAGTGAATGAGCAAGGAGCTACCAGCGGGGATAGTTCGCACTCTGCTCTGAGCTGCCTAATGCAAACCCCGTGAAGTTAATGCCCTGCTCCCAGCGGCCCCACTCCCCTTTCCCGGCTGCATAGTTCGTGCAGGGCAAAGGCTGCCCAGGTGTGCATTTTGGCAAATCAGTGCATTAGCACCTGCCAGCCTGGGATCCTCCCGGAGGGCCATTTGTGGGCGTGGCCAGTGACAGATCAGGGCATTAGCACCAGTCAGCTGGGGATCCCCCTGGAGGGCCGTTTGTGGGCCTTTCCAGTGGCAGATAGGTGCATTAGCACCTGTCAGCCTGGGATCCCCCCGGGAGGGTCATTTGTGGGCATGGCAGGTGGCAGATCAGTGTATTAGCACCTGTCAGCCTCATATCCCCTCAGAATGGACGTTTGTTGGCATGGCCGGTGGCCGATCGCTGCGGTCCAGCCGCCAGCCCTGGGTCTGTTCTCATACGGGCCGCCTGCCACCTGGGTTGCAAATATCAGGCCCAGATGGCAGCAGGTCAGGCGGGATGGCGCTGTCCCGCCCTGCCTGCAGCGTGAAAATTAGCCACCATCTTTGTTGGCGGTTAACCGCCATCTTGGCTAGTGATTAATTTGCATATCTCGCTGATTAGCCAATGGGAAGGGTAGCGAAGTTATGGTTAATTACCATGTTTCTCTATTATTAGATAGGATGTCCTTAGAACACCTGGGTTAAATATTCAAGGGCAACTCACACTTGACCAATGAATAACATTTTCATTACCAAGAGTAAAGGGATATCAGAAGTCTTACCTAGTTTGTTCTGAGCCTCCTCTGAAAGAAAAGGAAAGACCAATGTCAGGTGAGTGGGAAAGGATCACAAAGGGAATTAAAATTTACAAATAAATTCATATTTAATAACTTTAACAGGTTTCAGAAGAACACACACATATGTAAAAGAATATGCACACAAAAAGCCACACACATGCATGAACACATACATATACACAATGCCCCACCACCCACACGCACACACATCATGCTCCCTTCACACACAGTGGATCAGAGCTCACTACTATTCAGTAAATAAACAGGGGGAAAGTGGAGTTAATTTAGTGAAATAACAAAGTTTTAAAATATTCCTTTGGTAGTTAATTGTTAAGACTCTCTTGATTTTTGTAAGTTTATGTTCCTGCTAGTCAGTTTGTTAACTTTAGTCATTGGCTACCTTGAAATTTATGGGTCACTTTCATCACTGTGGCAGCAACACTGTACAAAGTGGCCACAGACCCTGGGGAAGGGGACACTGAGACAAAGCTGTGCTAGACAATACAGGTCAGGGTGCTGGTGCCCGTGTTCACAAAGCTTTAGTCCATGGATTAATTTCCAGTGGAACTGCACCAGAGCTTCTGTGTTAGGTCATTCCTGAACGAGCTTTTCTTAATCAATTCACATGGGTGCTGAATGCAGGGGAGAGAAAGGACTGGGATTCTCTGACAGGGATTCTGCCTCTCACTGGACCTTTACTGTGCCTGTATCCTAACTGAAAAGTTGACATCTAAACGCACTTCTAGGAGAGAGGCTTTATAAACATTGTGCAGAGATGAAACTAAAGTCCCACATCTGCTCACGACTATTTCTACAACATGGCCAGTCACGTCCCTTCTGTAAATGGAGAACAACTCAGGAAAGTCCATTCTACCGAAATCATTGGTACAATTGCATAAAAATGTCATCTCATACGGAGGGGCAGAAAGATTGAAATAACTCCTGAGTAGGGTACTAAAGAGTGATGTGGGAATATCTTAGAAACCAACCTTAGGTTTTAGACAATTTTCTTGAGTGAAAAACATACAACAAGAAAGCCCACTGCATGGGAAAACATATTTGCCAATTTTATCACCAATAAGGGTTTAATCTCCAACATTTACAGGTAACTCATACTGAAGTATGGTAGCAATCAGCTCAGGTAGAAACTGTAGTTTAACTCTAACCCTGCTGTTTGGCTTCTGTACTTGTTTGCTTTGTTTAACAGTAGAAAAGTTACTTTGATTTTCTGAACTTATGTATGCTATCCCAGTCGATTGAATCCTCCCTTGTCAGTGGTTTGAATATCCCATTGACTGTGATCTCACTGGTTTTAGAAAGCACATTCTTCTTTACCTGGGAACCAGGGCAGCACAATTTTCCTAAATTACCTCAGTGGCTCCAAATAATGTGTTCCTGTGAACTCAGTGGTCCCAAGACCTATGGCTCCAGGCAATGTGTTTCCATTGATTCAGTGATCCGGAGGCCCAAAACTATAATTTAACTAA